CCACCCACCCACCCACCCACCCAAGGGTCTCAGCCCACCCCTCTCTTTTCTCCAGGTCTCCAGAGAACCTGTGTGGCCAAACACCAGAGCTGATGGTGCAGCTCAGCAGCTGGACACCCCCTGCCCATCTTTTTGTGGGGAGGGAGGAGAGCATCTCATCTCCACCGCCAGCAGATCCCTCTCCCTGTGCCCTCTGGGGTGACCCGGGGCTGCTCTGGGTCAGGAGGCAGAGCCCAGGGGAGACCCTGAGGTGGGGGATGAAGGTGCCACGAGTGGGTGGCAGGTGGCCCAAGCCATGGAACCAACTGCCTGGGGACCTGCAGGTGGCTGAGTGATGCACATGCTGTTTTGAGAGGACAAGAAGCCCTGGGGGGACACACACGATGACATCCTGGTGCTAGAGGCATGATGGCATGGAGGACCAAGCCAGGAGGACCTCCCTGCTCCCTCCTTACCTCTCCAAAGCTTGAGCCACCTCCAGGAGCCCGTGGGCACTTGTGTTGTTCCTGTCCCAAACCACGGTCCTGCCAAGGGAAGGAGATGGGTGAGCCCCCCCCGCACCCAGGCAGCCCCAAGGTGGGTGCCCACCCTCTGGGTGCCAGGGAGAGGGGGCTGAGACTGATCCCCAGGCCCCAGAAATCCTGGAAATGGGGTTAAAAGCCCAACCTAGAACCTACATTTGGGCTTTGCAAAGAGCTGTAAAGAACCTGGGTGGAGCCAAGGGCAGGGAGGGAACATGCTCAGGCACCCTCCTGCTGGCAGGGACAGAGGAACAGCCCTGACCAGGAGACCCTTCCCCATTCCCTGTCCCCTGCAGACATCCCTGCCTTGCCTTTGTGGGCAGAATGTGGCCAAAAAAAGGGCAATTTAGGAACCTGGGAAGGGTCTAGGGCCACGTCTGTGGACACCAGGAGCCTCCTCTGATGGCATCAGCATCACAGGCAGGACCAGGGATCCCAAGGGCAGCTGGGACAAGGTGGGAAGGGCACCCACAGAGCCCTACCTGAGCTTGGTGTTGATCTGCAGGGCCTTGGCCAACATCTTGGCCCCCGTGTCCCCCATGGCATTGCCACTGATGTCCAGAGCCACCAGGCTGGTGTTGCTGCCCAGGGCGCTCAGCAGGACGTTGGTTCCCAGTTTGAGGCGGGATTCAGCCACAGACAGGGACTGGAGAGGCTGGGAAGGGGACAAGGAGGTGGCCAGGACACGTGTCAGGAGAGGTGTCACCACCACAGACCCAATCTCCATCCCTGGCCTGGGCTGCTGGTTGGGCTGGTTTTGGGTGGCCCAAGTGATGCTGAATTTCCCCCCTCCCAAAAAAAATAAACAGGGCAGTGGGTGCATAGGGAGCACCCTGGGCTGGGAGGAGGGAGGGAAGAGGGTGTTTTGGGGAGCTGGGCTGCAGGCAGGGGCCAGCAAGCATCTCCTGGAGGTTGTGACCCAGCCACGGGTCCTGCTTTCCCAGAGGAGCGGGAACAGCTCTTGCCTCTCCCCCCTGAGCAGCTGCTGCAGGGAAGGAGCAGCAGAGGGAACCCAGGGCAGAGGGAGGGGAGGAGGGAGGTTTCCTGTCCCCTCCCGGTGCTGGGAGGGGGGGGGATGGCACCGAGGGGGGACTCTGGGGACAAGCTGGACTCACGCAGTCATCCTCCTGGGTGAGCTGGACGATGCGGTGCAGGACATCCAGGAGCAATTCCCTGGGGAGGGGGGGGGGCTTCCATGGGCACCCCGACAGCACCCCAAGAGCACCCCCAGAGCCCCTCAACTGCCTCCCAAGAGCACCCCCAGAGCACCCCAAGTGCAATCCCAGCTCATCCCAAGTGCCCCCTACAAGCACTCCAAGAGCACTCCTGGAGCACCCCCAGAGCACCCCAAGTGCAATCCCAGCTCATCCCAAGTGCCCCCTACAAGCACTCCAAGAGCACTCCTGGAGCACCCCAAATGCCTCCCAAGAGCACCCCCAGAGCTCCTCAAATGCCTCCCAAGGGCACCCAAAAAGCACCCCCAGCTCATCCCAAGTGCCCCCTACAAGCACCCCAAGAGCACCCCAAGCACACCCCTAGAGCACCCCAAATGCCTCCCAAGAGCACCCCCAACCTCAACCCAAGTGCCCCCTACAAGCACCCCAAGCACACCCGAAGAACACTCCTGGAGCACCCCCAGAGTACCCCAAATGACTCCCAAGAGCACCCCCAGAGCACCCCAAATGCCCCTAGAGCACCTCAAATGCCTCCCAAGAGCACCCCCAACCTCAACCCAAGTGCCCCCTACAAGCACCCCAAGCACACCCGAAGAACACTCCTGGAGCACCCCCAGAGCACCCCAAATGCCCCTAGAGCACCTCAAATGCCTCCCAAGAGCACCCCAAGAGCACCCCCAACCTCAACCCAAATGCAGGCCCCAGGCAGAGCCCTGCCCTCCCCCTGCCCTGCAGCCCCACGGGGACTGTGCCAGCAGCAGGTGACAGTCCCCTCGTGTCCCCAGGCTGCCCGGCGGGATGGAGCAGGCAGGATGGGCACTCCTGGCCTTCCCAGCTGGCCTGTGGGCTTGGATGGGGAGTGGGTGGTGGGACCACCAGGCCAGGGCTGCTGTGACTTGGCACTTTACTTGGATTTGATGTTGAAGTTCTTCCCCAGGGACACGTGTCTGAGGGACTTGCTCCTGCCGATGGAGAGCACCAGAGTCACCATGTCGGGGTCGAAGCCTGCAAGAGAGGGGGGAGACACCCCACTGGGGTGGTCCAGGCAGTCCTGACCACATCAGGGTGGTCGGGTGGTGTCCAAAGGGAGAGCCAACAAGCTGCCAGCATGGGAGGGGAGAGGAGTGTGCCCAGGGCAAGTGCTGAGCTGCTTCCTCCTTGTCACGGCTTCCCCAGGGAGACCTGGAGAAGAGAAGGCTCCAGGGAGACCTCAGAGCAGCTTCCAGTGCCTGAAGGGGCTCCAGGAAAGCTGGGGAGGGACTTGGGACAAGGGCAGGGAGGGAGAGGACAAGGGGGAAGGGATTAAAACTGGAAGAGGGAGATTGAGGTGAGACATGAGGAGGAAATTGTTTGGTGTGAGGGTGGTGAGAGCCTGGCCCAGGTTGCCCAGAGAAGCTGTGGCTGCCCCATCCCTGGCAGTGTTGAAGGGCAGGTTGGATGGGGCTTGGAGCAGCCTGGGCTGGTGGGAGGTGTCCCTGCCCATGCAGGGCAGTTGGGACTAGATGATCTTGAAGGTCCCTTCCAACCCAAACCAGTCTGGGATTCCATGACCTGGGCAGAGCTGAGGACACTGGGGGGGTCTCTCCTGCTGTTTAAGGTGCCAAGGCTGGGCTGAGCCATGGGGAGCACTTCTGGAGCTTGAGATGTCACTTGCTTCCTGGCTCCATCATCCCACCACCATCCTGGACAACATGGGAGGAGTCCTCCCAGGTCTGCACTCCCACCCTCAGCTGCTCCAGCAGAGGCCAAGAGGCACCAAGACCCACCTACAGGACTGTCCATCCCACCTGGAGCTGCTCTACTGGGAAAGCCAGAAACAGAAGCACCTTTTGGCAAAGCTTGGACTGAGATTTGGGGTAAAAGAAGGAGCTTTTGGAACCCCTGTGGCCTGAACAGGTGTTGAAGTGACTCCAAACCAGGTCAGCTTTCCCAGAGCCACCTGTGAGATCTGAGCAAGGCTCCTTCAAGCTTTGGGGCCTTCTAGGTGACATTGAGAGCTGGCAGGGGCGAGGGGTGGGATTTCATTCGTGGCTTTGGAGGCCACAGCAGAAGACGTTTAGCAGCAGGGGCTGCAAACTCCTCCAGAGAGGTGAGAAGAGTTTCAAGCCCAGAGGAACTTTCCCAAGCCCTGAGGTAGCACCATGAAACCAGCCCAGGCTCAATGAGCTGAAGGGGCTCGTGCCAAAGACCAGGTGAAGTGAGAATTTTTGGCAGACCCTGAGGCAGCAGGAGATGAAGAACTTGCCCCACACCCAGGGCTGGAGATGCTTTCTCTCTGAACAAGAGGAGAGGCCACCTCCAGGGGCTGGGAGGTGCTGAAGAGGCCTGGGACACTGGGAAAGGGCATCAGCAGAGGGAGAAGAGCACACCTGAGGACTTCTCTCCTGGGGGAGAACCTTGCATGGTTGAGGAGCAGGCAGGAGCAGCAGAGCCTGCCCAGCTCCCCGGGGCCTCCTGCAAGCTCAGGAGATGCTGAGGCTGAGCTGCCCTTTGCCAAAGAGCCCGTGGGGGCCAGACCTGCAGGTGGAGGAGATGATCTGCTGGGTGGGGAAGAGGTGACCTACCATTGTCAGACAGGTCCAGGTGGCTGATGGAGCTGGCGTCAGGGATGAGGTCCTGGATGACTTGGGCTCCTGCAGATCTCAGCTGGGGAGATACAGCAAGAGTCAGCACAGGGGGAAGTGCTGAGCCCCTGCCAACCAGGTCCTGCAGGGAGAAGGTCACCCCAGCCCCACGGTGGGCAGGGCATGGACCTTCCCACACTGGGACTGAGCCCCTCTTGGCTGGGCTGATGGCACCTGTGGGTGCCCCTCACCTCACAGCTGCTGAGGTCCAGGTGCAGGTCCCTGATGTGGCTGTTGTCTGCCAGCCCCTGCAGCACAGCCCTGGAAAAGCCACCAAAGCCACCCCGTGGTGTGACCAACGGGGGCACCAGGACACACCACAGGGCACCCCTGGATGGTCCAGGCAGTGGGAAGGGGGGTCCTGGGGAAGATCTTCCCAAAGCTCTGCCTCTCACAGCCCCATCCATCCTCCCCACCAACCTTCTCAAGCACCAAAGCCCTGAGTCAGGTTCCCCAACCATCCCTCCTGCTGGCCTCCCAGCCCCACCTCACCTGACACCTCCTGGTGGCCTCCCAGCCCCACCTCACCTGACAGCATCTGCTGGCAGCCTGGTCCCTGCCAGGGAGACCTGCCTGAGGGCACGGGCCTGGCTGAAGAACTCCTTCAGGTCAGGGGAGATGGTTTTCACCCTCCTGGAAAGGATGGGCACCATGGGGCATCACCTACTGCCCAGCACTGACACCCCCCCTCCCCCAGGTGCTGTGCTCCCCCCTCCAGGGGGACTCACCTGTGGGAGTAGATGTTTTTGGAGAGGTCTAGGTGGACGAGGCTGGTGTGACATCCATGGACCAGGGCCCCAAAGAGCTGCCAGGGATGGGGACAGGAGTGTGGGGAGGAGGACCCA